TTCCTTGTGTTTTGCTGGCAAGGGCACAACAAGGACTCTTCCTCCAGTTCACAGCCAACTGACACAGAGCTTTTGTCCTTGTGTTTGGAGTCAACTCAGTCAGAGACACAAGGAAAGATCAAGCATGAGGTGTGGGGTGGTCAGAACCTTGGCCAGCACAAGGTTTTGGCCAAACAGCATATAGTTTTTTTGCTAATCACCAGCCAATGCCACTGTGCACAATAAACTTAGCCCTCCCAAAAAAAAGATCACATTTGAGGCCCATGAAAGAACCAAGTGTTCACAAAAAAGGGTCAGTGACTCTTTTTCACTAACTATCTGGCAGCATGTACATACTGTCAGGGCTGTAACACCAGTATCTGCACACCCTCAGAAACAGACTGGTGTCATCAGTACACTTTGACCAGTTCAATGCACAAAATCTGAGAAATGTGAATGGAAAATGTGTAGAAAATGCAAGAAAGACCCTAAAAATGCACTTGGAAATCTGATCATCTGGTCCTGGCAAGGCCAACCACTTTGGGAGCACTACTGTCAAGACATTGTTGTGGAAAGCTGGACAGTGACAGTCCTTACACTGCTTGATGATGACTTTCCTCTGCTGTTAACCCTCACACTGCACTTGAGCAACAGCACCAAACTTATTGATTTTAAGTCTTTTATTCCACTTTATTCACAATGGCATCATCATTCTTGGGGACAACTGCTACTTCCACCAGCGCAGGTGGGTGAGCATGACAGCACAAGGCAAGATCAAAGAAATGGGTGGAGAGTACAAGCTTCTGCCAAAGTATGACCCCTTCAGCCCAGCAGAGATGGTCTTTTCCTATCTCAAAATTCTCCTCCACACCTATATCCATGTGCCCAACAATCTTCTGGAGGTGATTGCGCACATACACCGACGCCCTGGAACAGCACAAGGGCCCCATCCCCCGCTTTCGTCGCTGCTACACCCTGCGGGGCTGTCCTGAACCGCACCACGCCACGCACCAGCATTCGCCAAGAAGCACAACATCCGGGGGTTCGGGCGGATGAGAACGACGTCATCAACGCCATCACCACCTGGAGGCGCAACCGCAAGAGGGAGGCCAGGGCCAAGAAGAGCGCAGCTGCCGTGTAGGGTTTAGAGGCCAGCTCTTTTCCTTGCGTTCTGTTTTTTTTCCCTTCTTGGTGAGTAGCACAACAAAAGCTCTGCGTCAGTCGGCTGTGAACTGGAGGAAGAGGCGTTCCTCTAGTTTGGAGTCGAAGCGAGGCACAAAGTTGATCTTCTTCACCTCCGTGAAGCCCTCGCTGGGCTTCGGTTCCTTGAAGTTCTTGGCATAGATGTTGTACCTGTTGTCATTGTAGCGCGAGGTTATCATGTTGTGCTCACCATCATCGTCATCAGCACCAGTAAGAACCATTCGCTTGTGTGGCAGCGCGCGTACCCCATGTCCGGAACGTGCCTGCGCTCGCCGTCCGTCAGCCTCTGTTGGAACATAATAAGATAAATATTCACCATTTTCAAATGGCTCGCATGGCACACGCGACACGCGACACACGACACACGCGAGAGCGGGCATACCTCGCGGAAGTGGTTCAGGTGCTTGGCCACATCCTTGCTGGTGGCGAAATAGAAACAGCGCGCTGGCAGGCCTCGCTTCTGCGATATAGAAAGAGAGCACACAGACTCGACTCGGTCAGAGAGACGCAAAGAGAGATCAGGCGCGAGGCGGGGAGAGAGATTGGAACCTTGGCCAGCGCGAGGTATTCGGCGCGAACGGCGGGCGACGGGTTCGTGTTGTCGATCACCACCGACGAGCCTTCGTCCAACGCCTGTGCACACGCCCGCAGGCACCTGTCCTTGCTCTTGAGCATGTCCTGGCCATCGTGTGAGGTTAGCACACCGACACGCTCCACCGCACACCGCACACCGCACACCGCACACCGCACACCGCACACCACACACCACACACCACACACATGCACACACATGCACACCACGTGCGCGCGGCTATTTGGTCCGCACCTGGTTGACGCGCACGTAGCCCTCGGGCACGAAGTAGCGCTCGGCGAAGGTGCTCTTACCGCTGGCCGGAAAGCCCACAAAGACGACCAGTTCCTGCGTATCCGACGCAACCTTGACCGATTTTCCTGCATACGACCAACAGTGTCAGGTGCGGTGGTGCGGTGGTGCGTATCGGTGTGGCGAACCTTTTACGCCTTCGATGAGGGAGTGCTTCTGGGCGGCCAGGTAGAGGGACTTGGGATTGACCCCACCCCATTCAAACTCGGCCTCTTTCTGTTTCAGGAAATAGGCCTCTGGCGTGTGGAAGTTCACGCCTGCACACACGCATAACCGCACACACCGCACACAGCAAGGAAGGTCAAACGCCTGCAAGAAGCTGACTGGTTGTTCAATGGACAACGAACCGATGTTCGCAGCGAATTTTCGATCGCCGCAGCTGAAGTCGCGCTTTGGCCGGCCCTGCGTGGGATCGGCCGAGCGACCTGCTGCGTCTCCGCAGTAGAACGAGCTCTCCATGTCCACAGCCACGCCCTGAACACATCCCCCCCACACATATGAGCAAGTGCCACTGCGTCGTGTGCGCGTGTCGTGTGTGTCACGGGGCGTACTCCGTTGCAGTGGCGGCACATGAAGTCCCACATGTCGGTGGACGGCTTGCGCCAGGAGTCACCGCCGCCGGCGATGAACGCCTGGATGGGCACCCCCAAGTCCTCCCACAGGTCCCATATCTGCCCACCCCAGAAGAGTTTCATGAGTCAAAGAGCGAAGAACGAAAAAGGCCGATGAATGAAAGCGAAGAACGAAGAATAAAGAACGAAGCCCAACCTTGCCCTTGATCTCGTCGGCTTTGGCTTCGCTCTTTTTGATGCCGCCCTGGTTGGTGAAGATGACGATCTTGAAACCCGACCTGTGCAGTCTCCGCAACGCGTCGGGAATGCTGGAGTACATCCACTGCCTGGCATCACCACCGCATGACAACGATCAGCCAACGAGAACACCAGGCGCATTGTGTGTCGTGTGTGCCGGTGCGTGTATGCGTGTGTGTGTGCGTGTGCGCGATCGGCATGTGAAGACGTACCAGTCAGTACGGCTCTGCGGGAAGACTCGCCCACTCTTGGTCACAATCAACGTCGAATCCTTGTGGACGCCCCCAAATCAAGTCAGTGACGTGATCAGCAGAAGATGATGATGGACGGCGGCGGCGGCGCACCATATCGAAGGACGCGATCTTGGCGGAGGGCTTGACATCGACCCCGTTGAGTACGAACAGCGTCCCCTCCACGCAGGTCCAGCGCATCTTGGGCGGCGTGGCATAGGAAATCCTCCCTATGCGCGAAGACACTACACGCGCCTCTCCATCTGTTGAGGCGTTGTGCTTGGTCAGCATCTTGACTACACACACGACATATGCGCCGCACGCACGCACGCACGCACGCACGCACGCACACGCTCACGCTCACGCGCGCACACGCTCACACGCACAACACCTTCGATGCTGTTGTCCTCGGGCGGTAGAAGAATGCTGCCTTCGTCTTCGTCGTCGTCGAGTTCCTTCTCGGGCTCCCACTTCTTGGTGGCTCCGGCCGGATTCGTTGTCTTCTTCTTCGTGGCAGGTGTCTGCTCTACCCCGTCGTCATCGAAAACGTGCGAGAACGCTTTCAGGTGGTCCGCATTCTGCGGGCACATGATCGCGCACGCACGACCGCACATGACCATCGCACACGCGAGCGCCAGTTGTGAGTGAGCCTTAGGTGACGTGCAGTTGTGGACCGTGTGTTACCTTGCGATAGCAGGCCTTGCCATACATGCACTTGGGCCGCGTGTCCACCTTCTTTTTCTGTTGTTGGCGCTCATCCGCTTCCTCTTCCACCTTGGGCTTCTTCTTGGCCGCGGGCTTCGCAGCCGCAGCGCCTGTCGTCTCCTCCTCTTCTTCTTTGTTCTTAGTCGCAGCCTCGCCTTCTCCCTCCACGAACGTGCTTGGCATTTTCCTCTTCTTTCCGCTGCTCTCAGTAGTTAAGGTGGCTGATGAGGCCGAGGCCGAGGCCGAGGTGGTCGTGGTCGTGGTCGAGGTGGTGGTCGAGGGCATGTCGACAGAGAATTGGAGCGAGTCCTCTCCGGGCAGGAGGTAGAACTCGTCGCGGTGGACGAGGTCGCTGGACTTGTCCTTGGCCAGGAGCTGCTCCTTCCCCGTGCTCTGCTTTCGCACCAGGACGGGGTTGCTGCCAAGCTGTGTGACGGAACAGGCAGGTGGGTTAGCAAAGGCTATTGACCGCACACGGTCGCGCGACACGCACACGCACGGCCGCACGACACGCGTGTAAGTTGGAGGAAGCCGTACGGCTGTGATGCGGAGAGTGCGTGCTTGATGGTCGAAGAACAGCTCCACGTGCCGTCGAGAGCAGCGTTTGTCACTTATAATCAAAAAAAATAGTGTTAAAAAAAGGAAGAAAATATAACTAATTTAAAGAAATAGATATTAAAAAATAGGATGGCTGTACGTGATGGCCAGGGATGGGTCGGAGTTGCGTCCCACGACCACAGTCTGTGCGACAAAAGATTATTAAATTGTACAAACCGATTAATCTGATTTGTGGGGCAAGTACGCTGGCGGGTTGAATGCGTAGGGTTCCACCAGTCACGTGGCTGCGCACCGTGCAGCAGGTTGTCTCCCGTGATTGGATCCCTTGCATTTGTGTGTTGGTTGAGAAAACCGTTACTTTTGCCTTGTGGGATTTTATTGGTGGGAAATATCACAATTCTTGGAATTGTTGGTTGAAAATAATTTTTATTATAAACAAATAAAAGTTAAAAAAAGCGGATGTTGATGAGCTCCCAAAAAAGAACAGAGCTGCGGACAAAGTAGAGCAAAAAGATGGAAGGAGAGCAGCAGGGAGTGGAGGCGAAGAAGGAGGTGTTCGAGGGCATGAAGGCACCTCTAGATGAGGACGGCTATGTGCAGTCGTTCGCCGTGGAAGATACCGAGGGCCAGCGGGCCTTCTTCGACACTTACGGCTTTGTCGTCGTGAGGGACGTCCTCGACTCCACCGAAGTCGACGTACCCCACCCCTTTCCCCTCCCCCTCCATCTTTCATCTTTCATGTTTTATCTATTTATTTTTTTTCTTTATTTCACCGAAACCGTGGCGAACGGGCGAGGGCAGGCGACCGTCGACGAGATCTGGACCGACACTGAGGCGCTGGCCAACCGAGCCAAGTTTGATGGTACCAAGGCCTCTGGTCAGCTGGTCTCGCCACGGGAAGGTGTGGCTCACCACTGGAATGTGGGGTGGGCACAGGGGACACGCTGCTGTCGAGGGACGACCCGAACACGTGGAAAACGTGGCCGAGCATGGGCATGGGCATCCTGGGCGGCGACATTGCCGCTGGGCCGCAGGCGTGGACCAACCGACAGCACCCACGCGTGCACCAGGTCTACGCCAACCTCTTCGGCACCGAGAAACTCATATCCTCCGTCGATCGGTGCGTGTCTCCCTCCCACACGACACAC